GAAGAGCACAGAAGGCTTGATTTCCAAACCATTGCAAAAATTGGCATGACCTCAACTACTTTTAGCAGGGTTGTGAGAGGCAGGGTATCACTCACCTTAATTGGTTCAGATCCTGCCTGAAAAATGCCCAGGCATGTTACAGTCCACCCAAGACTGATTGCAAAGGGTGTATCTCTCATTGATAGCCCCTAGAACCATTCTAAGTTATGACAATAAACACCTGTTTATTGAGTTCTCATTCCTTGGCAGGTATTATATACAATGTTTGGTTTGCTCTTTCCAGAAACTGCATGAGAAAAGTATGCATATCAAAATGCTACTGATGAGAAAGTGGAACTTAATGATGTTAAATGACTCGCCTGCCTAAGGTCACACAGTTAGTGACAGACAGTCTAGATTTCAGCCTAGTTTTGTTCAACTTTAAAGTCCATGCTCTTATTTGATGGACACATTAAATTATCCACCACTGTATCTAGCCTGGGACACAGCCACAATCTGAAAATTGAATTCTAATTCTAATTTAATAAACGTGCCCTCTGCCAGGAAATATGAGGAATGGCTATAGAAATGAAGAATAGAGTCTCTACCGTGAAGGAACATATAATATTAAATGTTATACTCCTTTTGGTCTATTCAGTAAGTCTGAGGAAAAGAATAAACATCTAATTTCATTCACTCATATAGCAAATATCAAAAATTTTTGTAATTTCAGAGAACAATATTATAATTTGGAAGGTGTTTGGGACACCTTAGGTAGTTTATAATAAGAGGTGATATAAAATCATCCATTTCAAGTCAATTGTCAATGAATGAAGAATAGCCTTCAACTGAGGCCAGGATACTCAAACTGTAAATGAGGCTTTAGACATACAAAGTTAGTCTAGGCCAAGTGGTTTAGTGGAAGGATTCTAGATTTTATATCAGAAAACATAATCATATGTGATGTGAACCATTTATGGCTTGGGAAATTCACTTTAAATTTCAGAGCCTCTGTTTCCTCATCAGTCAGTGCCTGTGAGGATAAAAGGAGACACATATGGATGTGCCTGGTACACTTCATGACCTATTAGAAGATTGTGAGGCCAGGAAGTATGTACCTGCAGAAATCTCAAATTGTTACTTGCAGTAAAGGTAGTTCTCAATTCTGATTGAGAATGTAGGTAAATGTTTCATTTTGCTTTAAAGATGAAAACTAAGCCCAGGAAGCTAGAGTCATGTGGAGATGAAGCAGTCGCAGCAGAGCATTCTTGGTAATGGAGAAGAGCATGTCAGCGCGAGAAAGGCAGGGAGGGAGGCCTGAGCAAGGAAGGTTGGAGAAGCCTCTGGAGGATGCCTGGCCAGGGCTGAATGCTCAGAAATGGAAGGGAAAGCTCAGGAGATTATCACTGAATCAGTAAGTACAAGTAGAGGGCAGTATGGCTTGAGCAAACCAAAATGATCTTCTGTGATCTGAAGATGAGGGAATCTATAGCTGCAGGTTAAGGCAGTTTTACAAATGGAATAATTTTGACCTGAGGAAGGAAAAGGAAAAGCATTTCAAGAATGGAAGCAGATGTATAGTCAAGGACCAGACTGGTTAGTAAAACATAAAAGGCAGATTAAAATTTAGTTTAATGAATTAAACTCAACAGGAGAACAGCAGCTGCATACCTGTAACAGCCCTGTAATATTGTTATTCTGTTATTTTAGGCTAAAGCCAGGAATAAACTAAGGACGACAACAACAAAAAATACATTTTGTTTTGTTCAGACAAGAACATGGAAGGGATGTCTCTGCTTGAGATAAAATGGATGACTAAACAAAACTAATTCCCTTTTTTTGTCTTCTCTATTATGTAAAAATAAACCATTAAATGTAAGGGATAAAATAAACTTTCAAAGAGTTAACTGAAAAGATAGGTGGAGAAGCTTGTAGGAAAATATGTCCTAGCTGTCTAAAGCTTAACTTCTTGCTTAGTAAATTTCCATCTCAGCAAGGAGAGTTTACCAACAAGGACTCTCAGCTAGCATCAGCACAGAGGGAGATGAACACTAAAAAACTGGAGGTGGACAAATGGAGTTCCAGTTTTTGCCTTAGTCTGAAACCAAGGCAAGAAACTTTTCACAGATAGGGAACAAAATGAATAAACCTATTATTAGAATGACATCTGGGTACTTAGAAAAGGAAGACACAATTTTGTAGACATGAACCAGAATTCAGTAAGTAGTCATTTCCTTTGTTTTTTGACAATATTACAGTAGAGCAAAGACATCCAATAGACAAAGCTCATCTGCTGTTTGGGGCTGCATCTAGGAGTAAGGGGTCACTTTTTCCTAATCCTTCAGCTAAGGTGAGAGTGGGGGTACCTTTTTCTAAATCCTGCAAAAGTGCCATATACCCATATACACAGGGTGCTACCCTGGGACAACAGACAAAAACAGGACAAGGTAATATCTGGGTCCTCAACTGATAAGAATGTTCATCAGTAGCATTCAAATCCAGTGTCAGCTGGCAGAGGAGGGTACCTGAGAATGAGAACTTAAATGATGGTATGGCACAGACCGGATTTACAGAGGTCATGAAATTGAGAGGTAGAATTACTCAGTTATATCAATGATACCCAACATGTCAACAAGCTCAACAAGCTAAGAGGCCTAATTTAACACAATAAAATTCAGTAAAATCACAGGTTAAGTGCTGAACACTGCATTAAGTGTAGTTGTCTAGTTCAGTGAGTCTCCAACTAAACTTTTAACACTTTAAGGTTTTATTTCGTAGATTGTAATATGGAGTCAGCTGGGTAATATTGCTGCCATAGAAGCTCCAAGGATATACTTAGGGAAAAACAGTAATTACAACAAAGCCATTAAACATCTTTCTACTTTGTCACTTGGGTGAAACCTTGAATTCAATTATTGGCATCAAGGTTTGAGAGAGATGTTGGCAAAGTAAATCTCCTCCTGAGAGCTTTCTTAATGGATGAAGAAAAGCTGATGGAGTGAATATGTACCCAGGTAAATTGAAGTATTCTCCCGTGGAATCAAGGCTAGGTGTATCCTGTAGATTCCAGAGAGCAGAATAGCAGATCTGTTGAGATTTACTGTAATGGAGTGAGCGGGGCAGGGGAGGGGTGTGCTTTGCACAAAGTGAATGTCATCCAGAGGCCAATTCACAGGTCACTCAAAAGCAAAATTGTGGGGGTGTGAGGGTAAAGGGGAGCAAATGACAGTGAGTACTGCCTCCTTTGAAGAATTCTCAATCCTGGTTGTACACTGTCATCATCTGGGAAGAGATTTTAAAATGCGGATGCTGATGCTTAGACCCTAACCTCAGAGATTCTGATTTGTTGTTCTTGGGTGGGGGTTCCCATTAGAAAGAATTTATTATAGCTCCCCTGCTGATTCTAAAGTTCCAGGTTGGAGAATCACTGAACTAGACTACTACTTGCTGAGAGGTTAAGTAAATTAAACCAGATGTTTTTTCTAAAGTATCTTTCAAATTTGAGAAGATAAATGGAAATTAACACGGATTACATAGTATAGTTAGACACTTTCACAATTTGTTCTAATAATTGCATTAGTATATGTAAATCTCTTAGCATAGTGACCGTCTGATATGGTGTAGTAAACTCTCAATAAACATTAGCTATTTTTATTGTATCCTCTCCATAACTGTTCAAACGAGGTATTATATCGTTACACTATAGATGAGGAAACTGAGGCTCTGATGTTAGTTTTCCAAGGCCCACAGTAGTAAAAGCAAAGTTTGGATTTGAACCAAAAATTAATTCCAGTTTCCAGAGTCCTCTTCTCTCCTCCACAGACCTTCCCTAAAGCATCTAGTTTATGCAAATTAGTGATTTACCTGAGCGAACATTTAAAAAATTTAATAGTATCACTTCCTCTTGGCCTGTTTGTAAGGAGTTCCTCTTAAATGCAACATCTGAAAAAGAGAAGCATAAACTGAGACATCCACATTTTTTCTGTATTTGGCCAAATAGAAGTGAGAACCTCTGAGGTCAGGGGAATTGGATGGAGGTACCCTTCAGAATTCATGGAGGAAAGCACTGCTCCCAGTAAAATATCTCCCATTCTAATGAATGGGTAAGTAGCCTACAAATCTTTCACTTCGGTACAATCTAGGTCTGGTAGGTTACATGAACACACTGGGTGGAGGTGGAGGGTGGGGGAAGTATTCCTGAGGTAATGGCCCTGATCATACCTGTCATCTCCTTGGGGCCTGGTTGGACCTGGCTGAGTGTGTTTGAGCCCAGTGGCTGATTTTTGGAAAACAGGAGGACTCTTCTCCAAGAGGCTGTGACTACCAAGGTTGCAAATGCTCCACCTGAACTTGGGTGCATGAGCGATCTCTCTCTCTCTCTCACACCCCCCACTGCGTAAGATAAATTTCCGTTTGTGAGCTGCCTACATTAAATGCTTTGCTCCTGACCTTCTATGATTAAAATCTGTTCCGTTTGCAGGGTTCGGTGCGCTTGGATTTAGTGTATTTTGTTGGTAAAGTAAAAAAGAGAATTGCTTCTCTATAGGCGATCCCCCTCCAAACCCTGCTCCCCCCCCGCCCCCCAACTAACTTCTCTTTGGGAAGAGAGTAAACTGAAATTCGAGAGAAAAGAGGCAGTAACTAACTATTCGGGAGGAGCAGACTGCAGTGGGCACCAGCCCGGGTAGTAAGATTCTTAACGTCTTCCTCGCTTTCCTCTCCCAGAGTTGTGTGTAAGCATCAGCTCCTCCCCCTGGGCCTCCAAAAGTTACCTTTCCTTTGGGTGTGATTCTCGAACCTGAAGCGTTTGAGTCCTAAGAAACTAGAACAAGTTAGAGCCAAAGAGGCCTGGCGGGCAGGGGTGCGGGTGGAGTCCGGGCCGGGTGGCGTGGAAGGCCGAGCACAGCTGCGAGCCGTGAGTCCCGGGAGAGGAGGAGCGGGAGAAAGCGGGGCGGGCCTGCGGTCGGGGTTCGGCCGGGAGAGGGGGTCCCCGTTTCCCCCTCCTCATCCTCGCCTCCTCGGGCTCTGGTGACGTTGCGGTTTCCTCCCCCCTCCAGCGGAGCCTCAGCGCCCGCCGCGTCCCTCCCTCCGCCCCTTTCGCCCACACCTACCCGCCCGCGCCGGCCCGGCTCTCAGTAGCGCCGCCCGAGGCTACAGCAGCGCATCCCGGGGCGCGGCGCCCACCAGCACCCATGGCGCGGCGGTGGCGCGGAAGGCTCGGTTCGGAAAGGGCCGGGAGCCCGGGCGCCCTGGTGTGAGGAGGGCCAGGAGCTGGCTCTGGAGGCTGCGGAGGCGACGCCGGAAAGAACGAAGCCTCGGCGGGGAGCGGTAAGCGGAGGGGCGCGCAAGGGGCGAGCTGGGGCGCGCGGCGCAACTTTCTTCTGGAGTTTCGGGCGGGTAGCCTGTGGGGCTGGCCCGGCACGGGCAGGAGACGGAGAGCCACGTCCCCGGCTGAGAGCGGAGCGCCGCGGGCTGCGCGCCCGGGCCCGGCTCGGCTGGGCTCCGAGAGAGCGCCTGACGCGTGAAGACTGAGCCACGGACTTCCCCAGCGGCTGAGCAGCCTCGAGGGGCAGCTTTTCGCCCCTCCCCACCCCCTTGAACGCGAGCACTGAGCCGGGAACACGATGAGAACCTGGAGATCGCATTCCGTGCGTCGGATCAGGGCGGCCCAGCCGCGATTTCCTCGACGGTCCACGGGGCCTCGACTTCACTCTGCGGGGTTGGGTGGCACACCCTCGCGTCCTCCTTTCCCTCCGTACCCCAGCCATTTGGAGGTTGGGGGAGGTGGCGGTGGCGTGTGTGCCGATCCTGGCGCTGGCAGCCCTACTTTGCGGCTGCGGAAGCCGAGGAAGAGCTTCCCAAGCCTCTCCAGACGCTGGATTCCAGCGCTCCTTGGCTCCGCCGGCACTCGGAGAAATTGTTAGTAAACCTCAGCCCCCGAGGCAGTCCCGGGGAGAGGAGGGGGCGGGGGCTTGACTCACGGACTGGGAAGCTCTGAAAGTGATACCACATGGGCTCAAGATCTGTCGGGGCTGGAATCTGAGCTAAGTTTGTGACCTGAGAACTTCTTCGTTTTCATCGCTCCTTTAAGGCAGCAGCCTCCTTAAGCTGGCTGGCATTCAGATGGAAACCGAAGCCTTTGGTTAAAATCAGGATGGTGAACCTCACTTACCTGAAATTCTTTAGGTCAGGCAATGACGCGTTTAGTTCTAGGAATCTTCGTGTAATAAAGTTTTTTTTTTTTTTTAAGTTTTCACTGGTCATGGTTTAGAAAGTCATGGTTTAGCCTTGTTAAATGTGTGAAAGATCTTCTCACTTATACATATTTTCAGTATTTTTCACATTATGGAATTTAAACTTTCAGTAATTCTCTCAAGTTTTTAAAAAAATTCTCAATGATAATCTCTATGTGAAAGTGATATACAATATTGTATAGTGTATTCTAACTATATTGCTAAATGGGATCACAAAAACCCTAATGTGCATGGAAGAAAATATAGGATTATCTGAGTATTTGTTTCATGCAAATACTTAGATTTCCGTATCGTGACCTCTTCCTTTGACGGTCAGGATACAGATACAAGTTCTTTTTTGAAGTATGTTGGTAAGGACTGTTCTAGTAAAAATGGAGAAGATAACAGATTGAATTTGATGTCTCCATCACCTAGTGACCCCTCTGGGTTCAGCAAAATGTGCAAGATAGTGCTTACATACAGAGGTATATGAGATCAGCCTTAGCTCTCTTGGAGCTACTAATACAGAACCTGAGAAACATCAATAAGCAGCACTTCCCAAGTTTGAACTTGGGAAGAGTTATTTTTCATTGACATGTATATGATGTCAGTATCAGTTTTTATGAAGTTTTTGTTAAATAAAAACACTGGCCTACAAAGTACATTTTGACAAATTAAAAAATACTGAAAGTACAGTCACCAAGTAAAGGGGAATTCTAAAAAAAAAAAAAAAAAAAAGAAAAAGGCCGGGCGCGGTGGCTCACGCCTGTAATCCCAGCACTTTGGGAGGCCCAGGGCAGATCACGAGGTCAGGAGTTAGAGACCAGCCTGGCCCATATGGGGAAACCTGTCTCTACTAAAAATACAAAAAAAAAAAAAAAAACAAAACTTAGCTGGGCATCGTGGCACGCGCCTGTAGTACCAGTTACTTGGGAGGCTGAGGCAGAAGAATCTTTTGAACCCGGGAGGCAGAGGTTGCAGTGAGTCGAGATCGTGCCACTTCTCTCCACCCTGAGTGACAGAACGAGACTCCGTCTCAAAAAAAAGAATGAATGAATGAAAACAAAAGAAAAGAAACTTTGACCAAGAGATACTTTGATAACAGTATAGGCAGTTGCCATGATGGGTTTATTAGGTTCCATTCTCTATCCTGCTAGATAGAGGCTGTCCCTCCTTCTGATCTTGGGGACCTATTGAAAAAGCACTGGGTAAGACATCAGCTAGGTTTGCGATATGAGATCAGGACCATCTTAGTGACTAATGTTTGTGTGTACATCTGTAAATTAGTACAACTAATTTACGAAATTAGTTCAGAAACAAGCTAATACAGTTCCTTTCAATGAGATTTTATGGGCTCTCCAGTTCAATATCTGGCAGAATTGCCCTGAGAGGACCCGGTGGTCATCCATGAAATGAAGCTCTTAACTTCACAGATGCTTCCCAGTGCCTCGTTGTAAAGAGTCTCTTTAATTTCTGAAAAAGTGCTTTAAGATCATTGATGAAAGTACATTTTGCAGTTAATAAAATATTTATACATTTCTTAATGTTATTTGTGATAGAATATTTTGGTATTTATTTATACTTGGATCACACTGTGTTGCATGAAAGAAATTGCATAGTTTTCACTCAATAGTATGATTTCAATAAATAATTGTAGAGAAAAAAAGAAAAAATATTTTAATTTGGGTGTTAGTATATTGGTAGTCTTTGTTTTCAAAAAGGAACTCCGAAAAGACTAGCATTTTGTGGGTTGTAGCGTATATTAAATATTATATAACCTGAAACTTTTAAAGGATTTTTACGTTTACCGATTGTGTTGCTTACTTCTGCCATGTGTAGGCAAGCTCCAGCCTGTTGAGGGTGTGGATTCCAGATCCTCTTTCAGAAGAAATTCCCAAAAGACTAGCATTTTGTGGTTGTAGCATATAGTAAATATTACGCAACCATTAGCATACTGGAATCCTAAATATAGTAAATATTATTCTTTTTCACCACCCACTGCCCCTTCCCCAAATAAAAAAAGAGAAATACTGTTATTGACTTGGGATGTGTTTGTGGCAGGCCTTTGAGGAGAGCCAGAATCTATGGTAGAGGGAACTTCATTATAGTGGATATTATTATTCTGTTTTCTGAGTGGGGCTGGATCTTTACTATTCTGAAGGAGTGGGTAGGGTACCTGAAGAAATTCAGTGACATAACCCTACTAAAAGAATGTGTCTAAGAAAAGGATAAGACAGTTCTTAAATGCTTACTCCATATTCTATTGTTTATAACAGAATACTTGAATCTGGATAGCTTATAAAGAAAAGGAATTTATTTCTTACAGTTATGGAGCCTAAGTCCAAGGTTGAGGGGCTGCATCTGGGGAGGGCTTTCTTGCTGGTGGGGACTCTATAGAGTTCCGAGGTGATGCAAGGCATCACATGGTGAGAAGGTTGTTCATGCTATTTCAGGTTTCTCTTCCTATGAAACTATCAGTCTCATTCCCGTGATTACCTATGAATCCATTAACCTATTAATCCATGAATGGATTAATCATTCATGAGGGCAGAGGCTCATGACCCAATCGCCTCTAGCTCCTACCTTTCAATACTGCCGCATCCACATTGGAGGTGAAGTTTCAACATGAGTTTTAGAGGTGGCAATTATCCAAACCACAGCAAATATGTTAAGGTTTTCTCATGGGATTATGTTATCTTCCCCTATAGTGATTGCTAGAATAAAACTCTCTGGGAGCACCAAATTACCAGCAAATGTTTGGGTGACACAGCAAAATTCTTTATACCTCAAGTTGGTGCCCACATGGCAATGAGGCAAGTTATATATAAGCCCAGAGTACTGAAAAGAAAAATTATTTTCCTATGAAATTCATATGGTGAATTAGAATGGGAAGTAGAGATTAAAATCCCAAACTCTTGAGATGTACTGATTGATGCTACCATTTGATGATAACAATAATTAAGGATGTATGTTTCACAAAGTCTTCTCAACTCTAATGCCCCATTCTAATAGGAAATGTGCTTTTAAAAATTAAACTGTTCATTAAGTGGATAGTATTTTTAATTGAAATAATTTCTCTTCAAAGAGAAATCTTTCTTTCTATCTACTCGGGAGTCTGAGATGGGAGGATCACTTGAGCCCAGGAGTTTGAGGCTGCAGTGAGCTATGGTCACACCACTGCACTCCAGCCTGGGCGGCGAGCAAGATTCTGCCTAAGGTCTTTTTTATGTGTATGGTAAATAAATGTATCCCAAATTCTTATCATCTCATTTTAGTGTTTCACAACTTCTAGTTATGCATAGAAGAGTGGCTTGATTAGTTGGTGGTGAAGTCTTGCAGAAAAGAATCAAATTAGAAAGAGAAATAGAAGGTATTGTGCATAGGATAGAGTGACCATTACTATTAATAAACTGTTGCTTATAAATTCATATGCATTTAGATAATTGCAGTAAAGGAAAATCCCTCAACATACAGCTACATAAATACTTGCATTTTGAAATTGCCTAGTACTTTTAACTTTTTTTTTCAAAGAATTCAAATATTTTAATATTTTAGCCTGGTAGAAATGGACAGTGATATAGAGCTACTGTCTTACCCTCATTTTAGGGGTGTGGAAATGGAGATACTAAAGGTAAAAGACTTGTCATTCATTTTCAGATCATTAGTGGTATACCTTAAATAGAAGATTAACTTAAATTACACATTTAATTCTACTTTTATCCTTTGTGACTTCAAATTCATATTATTAAAGACTCTGTAACATTTTATTTTCCTATTGTCTACTTTATTATCCCTTTGACTACTCACTACTCCCCATGAACCATTAGCTCCCTAAAATGCTTGTGTGCTTCCTAGACTAATGTAACTGGCTATTTACAGAGCCCCTTTCCGCAGCCCCCTTCTCTTCCACTTCTCTCCCTCTCTTCTCATGCCTTCTAAGGATTCCACTGTGGGGCCACTTCTAATTCCTGCAGAGCCCTGGGCTGATTGCTCAGTTCTCATTAGCTAGCTTCAGGATTTTTACCTTTACCGATTGTGTTGCTTACTTCTGCCATGTGTAGGCAAGCTCCAGCCTGTTGAGGGTGTGGATTCCAG